TAAACATTACGTTGTCAGCTTATGTTGATTCCGGAAGTGCATTCCAACGACATGCACTTAGCAACATTGTCGCCGGATAGCATAGATAGCAGGATTTTAGCTAGTGGGCCTTCTTCCTCTACGTTGTCGATCCAGGTGAAGGTCGCGGCCGCGCCCAAGTGGCTGCTCCACCCATTTTTCGATGCCCGCTGCACCACACATGCTATTCGCTCTGAACAATCCACCCCTGACCTCCCTTTATAATGTTTTTTCTTTTTCTTCCTGAAATACTTTGCCATTTTCGATATCATCGGCCACAGCAGAAAAACTTTCAGTCCGAGCTTTGCTAAGAGTACGACCGTCAAAGGGAAGAGCAAAAGCTTTCCTAGGAGCATCTTGAAAAACAGTAAAACCGTCACGGAGACCAAGATCTTGACTATGCTGCCTAGGAAATTCGCTGTAGCACTCAAGCCATCACTTTTCGGGCACCCAATTTCTGAGTACGTTTTGCGGATATCCGGGTAGAAAGTAGATGCTCCACTAAACAGGTCCAGCAGTGGGTAGTGTTGCTGGGATTCGGGAGGCACCGTGCTCAACGCTTGCTCCTGGGCACCTGCCCGCGACACAACCAAAACAACAACTATTGGCAACAGCATGGCCAACTAACTGTTCCGCTTCAAATATTACTTTCCTTTTAATACCTCGCCCGTAAAATTAGAATTTCATGTTCAAATCTGCGAATACTAAAATCACTCTTTAATTTTCTATTAATGGCGTTAAGGTCAATCGTTCGTTGTTTTTGGGGCAAGTTCAATAAGAAAGTACCTGCACTCAACTTCCGATGAATTAAACAATTTTCCGCATTTAATCCAAAAGAAAAAGAAAGTAGAGCTTAACGGAAGCATGTTTTATGCTAATAAAGCGGTGGTTCGTAAAAAGTTAACCATTACTTAAAAATAAACGAAAGTTATATTCCTTTTTTAATTTTGCTCGAACAGTAATAATAAGGCAAAATAAGGCTGCATAGCCCGAACGGCCTTTGCCCGATGTTCATAAGGCCAGAAAAAAAAAGAAAAAAGAGCGCGGCAGGAAAAGTCACCCTTTGTGAAATGCAATATGAAATCAGGTTGGTTTTTAATCAATATTGTATGATAATCTAATAGATTAGTGTTAATAATAAAGATATTTAAGTAAATATGGTAATGTTAACGAGAAGTTCGTACAGGAGGGCGTGTGAGAGCTTCGACAGCAGTGATAAATCACAAGGGAACATGATCGCGCCGCCTTGGTGCTCACTGGGTGAGATCAAAACACATTTTTATTTCTTTTGCAAATGAAACTAGACTTTAGTGCTTTACCAAGTCTTTTCTTAAAACATTATTACATTAGAAAGATAACCTACAGAGAAGGTACTTACATAATAATTTTGTGAAAATCATGTGTGCTGCCGTGTGTGATTGTCGTGTGGTGCTGGCCGGCTTAGAATAGCATCACCCCATGTATTTCCCGTGAGTGTCGTAAAAAGTGACTAAGGGATTTGAGAGATGATTTATTGCAATTTTAGGCGACAGGCTGACAACCTGCCACTATGATGACTTCTGAGCAACTCTCAAACTTTTATCAGACGTAGGTACCTACGTAGTGTATATGGCCGTTTTTACAGCCCTTTAAACTCTGCCTATCCCGTAAGGGATATAGGCATGATTTAAGTAAGTAATCATGTGTGAATGTAGGTACTTATTTATTGTAGAGACGACAAAAATAGGATTAAGTGTCTTATTTGAGTACCTACTTGTTGTTTCGTAATTATATGATCCAAGCAATTATTTGTCGACAGTTCGGACGACCGAAAATCAACGAACGCAATATCGTTTTTAAATGTTCCGAAACAATAATGTACCTACGTGTGCTACGTGTAACCGCGAAAGTCTAACAGTTTTTAGGTTAGAATATCCAATATTGCTTGCTAATTAGTGCATTATCCAATCCATTAATCATCATTGTTCTAAAAGAATACCTATAGGTAGGTACCTTTATGCATAAATTAGATCGTATATTCGGAATTACTAATGTGAAACTAACCAGACCTGGATAATCAAATGTGGCTACCAGAGCATCCATAATTTAGAGTCTAATTAAGATAGTAAATTCATGTATCAGCCAACTGCTTAGCCGTTGAAATTGTTCATAGTCATCATCTGCCTGCGACTATCCCAAATCAGCTGGGGTCGGCGCTACATGTTTTGTTAGAGCATAAAATCATGTCGCAAAATGATTTGGCAATGTTTTATAACAGACCGCCTGCCTGACGGACGTCAAGCCTCTTTAGGATGCTACTAATTGTTGATATCACCACCGACACCATGCGATTGACCATAGTTGATAATATATTCAGCCGAGGTCAAAAACTCTACTGAGTGGACTGGGCAGTGTTTTTAGTTGCCGCCACCACACGGCTTCCGTGCTTCGGATGGGCACGTTAAGCCGTCGGTCGCGGTTGCTGTCTATGATGGCGGTCGTTACACAACCATGTCAGAGGCCTGCTACTTGCAATAGGCGGTTGAAAAACTCTGACACCAGGGTTCATCGGGTCGTTGAACGACTCGGTGTCCCACACGAAAAGAGAGAAGAGACCACACGGCAGGTTGTCAGCCTGACACCTAGAATTGAAGATGTTCATAGTAAAATGTGGAATAAGCAGTGGGTACAGCGTTGCCATACAATAACAGCGGTATAGTAGGTCCCTACCCTACCTTATGGCGTTCTATGGTATAGATAGATAAATAGATTTTTTGGTGCTAGTTTTTCGACTCTACCATAAATCACTCAGCATAATTCTTAAATGACCATCAAAACTTTTACTGCCACTCAAACTTTTACACTCTGCCTACCCCGCAAAAGACATAATTGGACATTAGACATGTTTTATAGGCATGTATACTTAGGTATGTTAGTATGCGCAAAGCCTACAAAAATGTCCTCTAAAATATAAAAACGAGAGTAAACAAAAATGCCAACCTACAAATAAAGGTCTTTGGAAATGTAAAACCGGCCGTTTCCAGAGGAGGTAGATATTTACACAAAGCTCGCCAATTGTGCGAGGGAGGTTTTTCAGAACATTTCAACATGCGGCCGTTTCGGCCACTACACGCCTAGATACACGACAAAAAGTAAGTACTGGCGGGCGACCAAAACAGAAAGACGGCTACAAAGAAACGTCACAACACTCACACAGGCATCTAACCGCCGTCATTTACCGAAATTATTTCAAACCTTCTAGTAGTTGAGTGTTGACAAGGCAGAATCGTTTTTAGAGGAGGTAGATATTTACACAAAGCTCGCCAATTGTGCGAGGGAGGTTTTTCAGAACATTTCACATGCGGCGGTTCGGCCACTACACGCCTAGATACACGACACAAAGTAAGTATTGGCGGGCGCCCGATACAGAGAGAGGGCTACAAGGAATTGTCACTACACTTACACAGGCATCCACATGCCGTCGTTTACGGGCGGAACCAAACCGGCTAGTACCTACCTAGTTAAATGTCAACAGCTTTCAGTGCGGGCGGACAGCAAAATGACGACTCGCAAGTGTAGTAAATATTTTCGTATCGTCGTATTTTTGGTATAATGTAGGTAACTATGCTTCAACTAAAGTACCTAATTGATTTCGAAAAAATAAAAATAAAAACTAGCTACGTAGGTATAGAAGCTCGGAAAAAGGGGTGAGCTGTCCTTCTGCAAATTCTCTATTTTGTGTACACGTAGGCAAATTCAGGATGTACATGTTAAAACAATTTCGCCTACTGCCAACTGGTGCCTAGCCTAGCTACCTACCTGCTGAGGTTTTATAGTTTTAAATAATAAAGAAGCTGGATTGTTTCGACCAAACTGTTAGTTCTGTTCCGTTTCTGCAAATCGGCATCCGCTTGTTCTGCGAACTACTGACCCACTATTTTGTTAGTATGCGAATTCAACGAAAAACCGAACACCCAAGAATTCATTAACAAGCGAATCTCAAATTATACATTCATACATCACGCCTATATTCCTTGCGGGGTAGGCAGACCATACAGAGCTGTAAAAAACGGCTTACACAATGCCTGATAAAAGTTTGATAGTCATTCAGAAGAGTGTGTATCACCATAGCGATAGGTCGTCAGCCAGTCGTCTAAAATTGCAATACACATCAACTCTCAAATCCCGTAGTCGCTTCTTACGAGACACCCACGGGAAAGATATGGGGCGATGCTATTCTAAGCCGGCACCACACGGCGATTTATGAGCAAATCTCAATTTTATAGACATTCCAAAATACCTCGAACTTGATAAAGTCAATTTCGTTTCATTACTTAGACTTTGAAGATTGTTGTTCGCGAGATAAGTTATTCGCCAACTAAGTTTCCTGTGGCAAGGATTTTCGTTTAATAATTCTGGTTTAATATTTCAAGCGTTAAAATAGTTACAAGAACAAATATTACCTATCCGTGAACGAGAAAATTGCACAGGTACTATACCAACTTCAATTTCGGAATTTCTAAAAGGAGATTTGGAAAAATTCTCGTGTTTTATTTCTTTACACGACACACAGCTAGGTATTCGCCAGCTAATGAGAAAACGGAAATACCTACTTAGGCAATAACAAAATTCTAATAAAGTCCTGTTACTTACGTAAGATCCACAAATAGGTATTTGTTGTTTATGTAGAGTGTAGTGACCGATAGCGAAAATGCAAGACAGGCTAGTGATTGATAAGGAACAACTTTACCCCAGGAATACAGTTAGAAATATATAAAAAAATCTTCTACTCAGGTAGTTGCAGTAAGCAAATAGATAATGATCATTATCATCAGCCCACATCCACACTGCGGGGTATAATGATGATAATGACATTTTATAGCACCTTTAAAAACCTTAGAATGGGCGTTTTTGGAGAGTTGTACGCCATCTTGCAAATTTCTCCATAGACTTGAGGTGATTCCTCTTATAAATTAAATAATGAGAAAATTGAAAAATTCACTAGCGACCGCCGAGACTTGAACTCGGCACTGTGGATCACCGTTCCAGCGCTCTACCGACTGAGCTCTTCGGGTGCCTAGCGTAGCGGACCCTGGTGAATTTCACAACCTCTTGATGCTCGTCTCGAAGCGACGATTAAGACTCTGATTCTGATTCCTCTTAGTTTGTGGCGGTGTACAACACCATCTTGTGGTTTTGTTTTCTCCAAAAACGCCCATTATAACAGAACACAGAGTATTTTAAACGAACAATAGAGAGTACGAACAATCCCAATCAAGAGTAAATCCCAACCTGCAAACTGTCCTTAATTCGCGGCCCGAAACCCGATTCGGTGCTAGCTAACAGCTTGCATAATGCAATTGGAACGTGTACCACCTGCCAGCCCATGAATTATGGCCCTCGAACAGGCAAATATCAAATGAGAGGTTTAATGCCCTGATTAATCGCATCAACAGCTAGAACAGTCCACTACTGGACATGGGTCTCCCTTATTGTGGGGTGTTTGGCATTAATCAATCACGCTTGGCAGCCGGATCGGTCAGGCAAGATGAACTTTACCTCCTCCTCCATGACTACACAGGGAATGTTGCTGCCAATTGATAATAAAAACAGGTATATAGGGGAGTTGCTATTCTTTACGTGCTAACTAACAGCTTGCATAATGCAATTGGAACGTGTACCACCTGCCAGCCCATGAATTATGGCCCTCGAACAGGCAAATATCAAATGAGAGGTTTAATGCACTGATTAATCGCATCAACTGGCCATAGACTTTACCAATTTGTGAGTGTCACACTCAACGTTCTTAGAAGACAGGTAAGTGAGGCAAGATTTTATATTCACAAAAACTACTTACACCGAGTCCTTTTGTCGCTGTTTACAATACCCACAGCACAGGTAAATAGGGGAGATGCTGTTATTTACGTGCTTTCATAATGCAATTGGAGCGTGTACCACCTGCCAGCCCATGAATTATGACCCTCCAACAGGCAAATATCAAATGAGAGGTTTAATGCCCTGATTAATCGCATCAACAGCCAGAACAGTCCACTGCTGGACATGGGTTTTCCTCATTGCGGGGTATTTGGCATTAATCAATTACGCTTGGCAGCCGGATCGGTCAGGCAAGATGAACTTTACCTCCTCCATGACTATACAGGGAATGTTGCTGCCAATTCACAATAAAAACAGGTATATAGGTTCGATGCTACTATTTACGTGCTAGCTAACAGCTTTCATAATGCAATTGGAGCGTGTACCACCTGCCAGCCCATGAATTATGGCCCTCGAACAGGCAAATATCAAATAAGAGGTTTAATGCCCTGATTAATCGCATCAACAGCTAGAACAGTCCACTGCTGGACATGGGTCTCCCTTATTGTGGGGTGTTTGGCATTAATGAATCACGCTTGGCAGCCGGATCGGTCAGGCAAGATGAACTTTACCTCCTCCATGACTACACAGAGAATTTTGCTGTTTTACAACACCAACAGGTAATAGGGGAGATCCTATTCTTTTCGTGCTAGCTAATAGCTTGCATCATGCAATTGGAGCGTGTACCACCTGCCAGCCCATGAATTATGACCCTCCAACAGGCAAATATCAAATGAGAGGTTTAATTCCCTGATTAATCCCATCAACAGCCAGAACAGTCCACTGCTGGACATGAACTTCCCCATATTATACCGGGAGTAACAGAAAGCGTATAATAAGCCAAAAGGAGGTCAAGGTACTCATGAAACTGAGCAACTTTCCCCATTGAACATGGGTCGAAATATGAAAAAAAAATTTGGAAATCCCATACAATATCGCCGATCAGCTAATTGACTTACTATGGAGGTCCAAATTTTTTTTTTTCATATTGCGACCCATGTTCCATATCCAGGGTATAACAAGCCGAAAGGAGGTCAAGGTACTCATGAAACTGAACAACTTTCCCGATGGAACGTGGGTCGAAATATGAAAAAAAAATTTGGCCCTCCCATACAAAATCTCCGATCAGCTGATTGATTTACTATGGGTATCAGTTTCATGAGTACCTTAACCTCCTTTCGGTTTGTTATACCCTTTCTGTTACTCCCTGTATAGGTGAAGCAATTTTTTGTCATATTTGACCCATGTTCCATTAGGAAATTTGACCAGTTGTATGAGTACCTTGACCTCCTTTTGGCTTGTTATACCCTTTTTGTTACTCCCGTATAGTTAAAAATATCTGTAAAATTAAACTTTACAAGATGCACTCTGTTCTTTAGCTGCATCCATTGAATTTGTAAACAAGCTCTTTGTAAAAGTTTTTATCTTAAAACTTATAAAGCGCCTGCAATGTAATAGCAAGGCACTCGAAATGGCTAATAAATTGAAACCAGTTGAGAATCTTGTTTAAAAAATTCTCTGTACGCATTCTGTTTTACGTAGCTGCTCTTAAAAGCAACATAAAATCGCTACGTACCACAACCCTTTGTTTTAATTTGTAAATGAGCATTATTTCACCCGACCGCATAGAATATAAAAGAGCTCTACAGGATGTTAAGAAAAGCACTGCAATCTTTTTGAAGAGCCAGCTTGAGAAACTGAAGAACATAGGTCGAAATATGAAAAACTAGCGGGTCGATAGCGGTTTCTATCACCTGCTGCAACTCATTTTCCCTCAGGAAAAAGCCATTTTCTCGGCATGTGTCCTATTATTACAAATCACAACTTATTTATGACAATAAACCACAACAAAATCCGATGCGTAGTTTAGAAGGAGTAAGCGAATTCTAGATTAAGTCTAAATTAAAAAGGTATCTTAGCTTAATGGACTCAGAAAATTTTCTACCACCTTGTATAAAAGAACTCTATTTACATGCACATTATGACTGGTACACAGAAACTGTAGCTTAAGCATTAATTAATGTAATGAACTAATTCTGCACGCTAAGTAAATAACAGAGTTCGCGTTACTGACCGAGTTCGATGGGTTTCGAGGGCATCCATGTACTACGTGAGGTTTAATAGGTCGAGACGAGACAAGTCTCATAAAAAGTCACGTGCTTCTATCAAAATGTGACGTGTTTTTTCAGAAATTTTGGTTAATTTTGCTAAAATAAATAATACTTTGGATAAGGTATGCATTGTGGAGATAACTCAAATAAATAAGTATATGAGCGACTCTACCTACTAACATAATGTTAAATATACCCACCTTAAATATTTTACGATCAAAGTAAAAGAGCTCTACGTAGCTACTTACCTAAGTTGAACGTGTAATACGGATTTACTGCTTACTAAAAATAAAAATAAAGAAAATGGGTAGATTACACGTCGCTTTACAAAAACAAACAAGAATGTATATTACACAGGCCTACAAATTTCAAGTCATAACTTCCCCTTTTCGATCTGATGACTGATTCTAGGTAAATTTGACACGCTGATCACGAATATGTAATTAGTTTTTCGCCATCACGTCCAGGTTTTTCATAATCGACAAAGAAAGAAAATTGCAAAAATAAATACCCTTATATACAAAAAAAGGTATTTATTTGAAAGTACTTAGTAATAAAATAAATAAATATTAAAATATGATTTATAAATAAGTGCTAATTTCGAAAACATGTTATTCATCTTTGTGAAATCTTGTCCTTTTTTCTGCGAAGCTTCTATTTTGCGATTTTCTCTTAAATTTTCGGTTTGGCTCATCTCGCTTCAGGAGCCAAAAGTAGTCCGCCAATATGCTAGTATTCCATCTTTCCTGATTCCTCTTTTCCATGTCTTTCAAGTCCCGATGAAATCTTTCACCATGTTCTTCGCTAACGGCTCCTGAATTTTCTGGGAAGTAGTCAATGTGCGAATTCAGAAAATGAAGTTTAATGCTCATAGAACAGCCTATCAAGCCGAAATTTGTAACCATTTTGGCCACTAGGTATGTCTTTATAGTCAGGGCTTTTTCTGTTTCCTAAGAAATTTTTCACCTCCTTAAAGATTCCCGTGCTACAAGCTCAATGTGTGAAGGTTTTTCATCGAATTTTTCATCCTTCATTAATTTTCTTATATCAGGGTCAACAAAATTCCTTGGTTCAGTTTACGAAGTCTGTTATGCTTGCTCTTTGTTTTATCGGCATGAATTTACCACACATACCTATAACAAAAACTATTGGGAGAATTTAAACAATTTCGTGAAGACATTTTTAAGTTTACGTTGTCTAGTGCGTAAAGCAACTGTAATATTTTAAAAATGTTGTGGGTATTTATACTAAAAATCATTATTATCACCTTCATTTACCCTCTTCTAATGACTGATACAAAAAGGGTACTAAACAACCTATTTATCTCTTAAAAATAGGACTATTAGTAAACGAGCCCAAAATTACCCATTTTTGGCGTAACAAAGACATATTTCTCATATTAATCATGTAGTAAATAACACATTATGAATTGAAATTATATTAATAGATTAATTAAATGTAGTAACATTTAGATTTAACTCGTTGCTTTTTTTTAATTATTTTTTTACTGTCCTCTTCGGGCGATTTTAAGCAAAATCTAAGTCATGGAATTTTAAAAAAACTGACGTGATGGATTTTTTTTACTATTTTTCCCATAATCAGTGTATCATAATCTATCGGAAACGCTATTTAGATATTAAAGGGGAAAACCATTGTAGGCCTGTGTTATCGATAAAACGCTATACCTAATAACGAAAAATAGCGGAACTTTTTCGCCACCATATTTACGTATGCCCCCTTTTCTTTTCACAGCCAAAGTTCCAGAAAGGAGGAAACCGAGACGGACCGAAGTGTTGGAAAGGCGATCCGCTTCCCCACTACGATCGGACATCTGCGAATATCTCCTCGCAGATAAGAGAAAACTGGTCAAAAGAAAACATAGTAGTAGAGCAAGTTGTAAGCCGACACCGGGGGACAGAGGCTGTGGGAAAACTGTGATAGTTTTCGCATTGCTATCTATTGTGGCTGGAATAACAAGTGAGTATACTTAAAACACTATCTCTAGTTTAGACTGAACTGCCCTATCTAGATCTTATTGATATGGTGAAACCATCGATATGTACGGACCTATCCGTCTTGAATTGGTCCAGTT